TCATCGGGCACGGGGCCTTCGCCGTGGTCTTCAAAGGCCGCCACCGAGAGGTGAGACCCCCCCTCTGTGTCCTGGGCCGCCCTTGGGTGCCACTGTCCCCTCACCCTGATGCTGTCCCCGTCCAGCCTTAGCGCTGGGAAGGCCCTGGGGAGCTGGGAAGTGTGTGCTGGGGGTGATATTATTACTATTACTGTTATCATTGATCTCTGGTGTCTTCGGGACACAGGCCCCGTCGGGCCTTGGGACAGGGTTCGACCTTGTGTCTTGCTGGCAGCCCCCGCCATGGTCCTGCAAGGGGACGTGCGGTCGCGCCGCATGGAAACGCCATCTGTGCCAAAAAACGTACCCTCGTCTTAAATCAGAAGCAAAATAAAAGGGCTAGAGGAGCCCAAACAAAGAAGAGGGGGAAAACAAAACAAAAACCAGAAAACCTAACCCAAAATACTGCCTGACTCCCAGGATCGACTCCAAAGTGTCTCTCTGTCATTGTGGAGTTTGCTCCATCTTGGTCCCCTTTATTTTTTTCCAAGGGGAGGGGAAATCGCTCACCCTTAAATAAAAGGAAACCAATCCATCTGTGGATTTTCCATCATTAGCGCTCAGGATAAGCCCTGGTTCCCACAGTGCGTTTATTTCTAGCGCTTAAATAAGAGGATAATCGTGGTATAAAGTAATAACAAAAACCTGAACCTCGGGCTTTTCTCCTTGGGCTGACAGGCATAATTCAGGAAAGGGCAAGTCTGAACAAGTTAGGGATATGCATTAGGGCATAAAGTGGAGGCCTTTGCTAATGCTGCAAGACACTTCTTTCAGTTGTATTTTTAATCTGTTAAGAGGCTGCTTATCCTAATGTAAATTAATGGTGGAATTTACATATATCTTTGAATTACACATGCACTTTTTAACTTTCAGAAACCTGAGCTGGAGGTAGCTGTGAAGTGCATTAACAAGAAAAACCTTGCGAAGTCTCAAACTCTGCTGGGCAAGGAAATAAAAATACTGAAGGTAAAGGTAGAATGAATTATTTTCTTCAGTGTCTTTGTTGTATATCTTCTTTGTTATTCATAGCTTACTGCCTTTGTCTTATTTTTTTGTAGGAATTGAAACATGAAAACATCGTTGCCTTGTATGACTTCCAGGTAAACACATTTAATTATGGCAAAGCATTCTAGATTTGGGAGAGGTTGAGTGGAGTTTGCGGAGTTTGTTTTTAACAGATGTTTGTAATCAGGCATACCTCTTCTTGGAAAAAGGCCCTTATAAGCTAGGGAAACATAAACAAACATGTCTGAGCAAATCATATATTAATTGTGTTCTGGGCCACAGAGCACTCATGCAGTTGAGGTGGGAGCTCCTGCTCCTCCCTAGCCTGGGAGCTCCAGGATACTGTGTGGTAAAGTGCAATGCGTGGTGAATATGTCTGTGTTTTGGAAGGCTTCAAGTTCTTAAAATGCTAAAATTAAATAAAATTACAGTAGTTCTTGGTATACCTGCTTTTTTTGAATATTTCTTTTTCTTAGACTGCCTCATTTCATGTAGAAATGGTGTGAGCATGACTCTGTAGCATATGATTTGTGCTCAGTTTCTCAGGATTATCATTTGCATTTTTCTGTTGTCCTTGTGGCAATCAGTAAGTGTTTAAAAATTGCAGGCGATGTTTTTGGATCATTGTGGTTTCCCACAGTTGCTTTTTCCTACAAAGTCAGCTCTAAAAATCCCCTCTAAGGGATTGGAGCTGATCTGCTCTGAAACTCAGGTTACTCAATGACATTTTTTTCCTCGGACTTTTAGTTATAAAGCTCTGTTGGACCATGAGGCACATTCTACCCATTGTTAGTTATGTTATTTAAAAAAAGAATGCTGTGTGATATAAATGTATAAAATGGAATTCCTCTGTTTCCAGACTGAGGGGCTCGTGTGTGTGATAAGAGCTTGTTTCACACTAAGGTTTTATATTTATGAGCGACGGCTGTGGTGGCTGCTGGCCCCACTGCACAAGTCGGACCACCCGGGTGGCTGTTGGGTGGCTTATCTGGAGCCGCTGGCCCCTCGTCGGTCCCTCATATCACGTGGCCCCCAGGCCGGCGTGTTTGTTGACATTCCTCCTGCTCCCGTGGATTGGCTCCGGTGGCCTCTGCGTCACCCGAGACACGCGCCTCGGTGGCTGCTGCGGTGCCTTCTGGGTGCTGTAGTCTGCGCGCGCCAGCCTCGCTCCGCGGGACAGTGTCACCCGCTGCGCCCGGCCCTGCCAGCACAGGGGTCAGGATGTCCTGCGGGGGGTTTAGCGGAGGTTCCTGGAAAGCCTTTAGCCTGGTGTTGTTTTGTTAAAGGAAGCTGGAGGTGGGGGGGAAGAGGCCAAGGCATTAGGAGCAGGAGCAGTTCTTGGAAATACCCTTTGGACAAGCGACCACCTGTCCTCTTGAACTAGCATTTGGAGCTGATCATGTGAAGTCCGAAGGGAGTGACCTCCTTTGCTATGATGCCACAGAGTAGCACAGAGATAGAGAAGTTTCCACTGGGAAAGGGCACTTGAGGCACTAGATATTTTTATTTGTTTGTTTATTTATTTTCATTCTCTTCCCCTGTGTTCGTAAGTTTACTTGCTCCATAATTTCTCAGTTGAGGGAGTGAGTGGCTGCTTCTGCTCCTTTGCTATAGTTTGCATTTGCATGTAGTAGTACACAGCAGGATTTACTTCCTGCAGACCTTTCAGAGCCTTTGTGTGTGTCCTCTTCCTCTGCCTGCCTCAGCAACTGCCTGGTAGGAGGCAGCTCAGATAACTCCACTTAAAGTAGTGAGTTCATAGCAGCTATAACAGAGACAATGCATTTTTCTTATGTGTTGGCAAAAGAGCTTTAGCTAAATTCTGTATTTAGCAGTGTAGCCTGTTGAGTTGTTTGCAAGAAACTGTGTAAGTTGTGAGGAAAAAAAAATAGGAACTCAGAAATGGTCCTGCTTTCAGGACGTGCCCAGATCTGTTTTGTGTTAGCAGCTTTCAGAGGCTCCCTGTATGTCCTTGGGTAATGTGACTTGTTGGGCAAAATGCCCAACAATTTAGGCTGTGTTGGGGGTACTATGTGGTGCTTCCAAGGCTTGGAATCTGGTAGAAGGTGATCTGTGGTCCTGCACATCAGACTGTGTGTGATGCATCTGAGTTTGGCCTTGCTCTGTATCTGTTCATGATTTATCTGAGAGTAAACTCTTTGCAAGGATAAATGCAGATTCTGTGGAAGGCCGTCTCCTGCCCACTCTTTACTTTGTATGAAAAGACTTTTTTCTTGCCGATCTTGTTCCTCTGATACAAGATTAACTTTCATCCATAGATACCTATATATGTATATATTTACCCTTGAAAATGTTATAGTTGCAGTTATTTTAAGTTATTGAGCCATTATTTTAAGGCTTTCTAAAAGTCAAAAGGTTTATTCTTCTATTACAACTTCACAGAGCAAAAAGAAAAAAAAATAGTTCCTGTGAATCTTAATGTTGCCCTGCAGCTTTTTCTATTACATTGTTGTATCTCGACTCTTCCCTTCCTCTGCACCTCCTGTCAGCAGTGACTTTAACTTTTACTCACATGTTCCTTGCACACAAGGAAATGGTTGCTAAAACCACAAAGGCTGTAAGCAAGTGATTACACCTAGCGATGCTTTCATTAGCATTAACTTTTAACCAGGAAAATGCAAGCCTGGCCTAACACGACTTTAAATTTTCTGGTGTAATGCCAAGTTTGCCCCAGACAGGCACTTGCAACACTGATATTTCATGCAGCAGCTCATTCTCTGGCACTCTTATTTTATCCCTCAAATCTGGGAAAGCTGCCGTGTCCCTCTTTTTTTGTTAAGCATCTTTGTGATACTGGCTCATAAATAATGACCAAGTTAGAAGCTTCCTAAGAAAAAATGACACTGGTGAATGTTTAATGCATAAAGGTGCGGGGTTTGGACTTTTGTAGATCCCCTTGCTGGAGTCCTAGGAGCAGCATCGTTATGTGAGAATGGCTCACCAAATGAAATATGCATATTCCCATTATTTTGTACTCATGTATTAATGAGAGGTGCTGTGACTAGTCCTAATGAGAGAACCTCTGCTCAAGAAACAGATAAATCGTGTTTTATTGGCTTTTTATATTTAGAAACTACTCTCCAGTGTCCGTATGGGGTTGTGCTGCAGATCTTTCCTAGGCCCAAGAGATGTTTGTCATAAAATAAAAACTAGATTTGTCCATTTGCAGGCGCGTTACTTGCAGCCAAACAATCCCTCACTCCTTTGCTGCCTTGCAGAGTATTTGGAGTTAGTCCGAACGGCAGCAGTCTGGAAACACCTCTGACATCTGGAGCGTAGGATTTTTTTTTTACTCTTTTCAAGCCAACCATAATGAGCTCTTATTGCTTAAGGTGGAAATTAATGACAATAAGGAGTTATCGTTTCACTTGCATGAATATTTAGGTTGAAAATGGGGTTTCTTAAAACGCAGATCCCCAAACTGTGGAGATCGATTCAGCTCTTGATTCATTTTGATGATAAAACTTAGTGGTGTCTGGTAATATATTTCTACTGGGGAGGCTACATCACCTGAAACTCCTGAAGGGGAGATGTAGAACATGGAGTCCTTGCAGTCCGAACTATTTGTTTTCCTCTTGTGCCCATGGATTGAGGCATGGGGTGGTAGAACAAACATTCTTGGGCTGAACGGTCAGTCTTCCAGGGCCAGTCTTGGGAAGGAGCGGAGCCAAGTCAGAACAGCCTTATTCTATTGCTGCTGCAGAGTCCTTGTGCTCTGTAGGGTCACAGCTGCTTGGCTTTGGCATTTGGTTGTGCTCTGCACCACCATCCTCCTCTGACACATGAACTAGCAGCCAAAGGCTTCATCTTGTGCACGTGCCTGCTGCTGTCCCTCCAGAGACCTCTGGAGCTCTGCGTGGCAGTGTCCCTTGGTGTGCCCTGCAGTGCTGCTCACTTTTGCTGCGCTGCTTTGGCAGCGCGTGCTGGTGGATGAATCAATGCTGCAGTGTCACCTCCTTGCCTCACCACCTCTCGTGCCACCTAATGTGAGATCTTCTGCTCCTCAGGCATTGCTGATTTGGTGCCCTGAGACAGGGCTCCAGTGTGACTCTTGGAATGACTAAGGCGCTCCGTGTCTGGGAGATGGCACTCCTGAGGTCAGGCTGGCTGCCTGGTTAAATCCACTTTTAATTCCCTCCCTGAGTGAGGCTGGCAAGTTGCCTCATGAGTGGGTGTGAAGTGCAGGTTCCTCTGAATTGCCGAGCGATGCTCCCGCTCGCGCTGTGGGCAGGAGCAGGGTGTCTGCTGCGCGGCGCCGGCAGCATTCCCGCAAGGGGTAAAACGTAAAGAAATCTAACCTGCCCTCTGTCAGTAGTTTTGTAGAATGAGATACAAGAAGCTAGTCAATCGGATGGTTATATTTATGGCAAGTAGAGAATTTTATGGCCTTGAACTCCTGTTTATGTCAGTGTCACCAGCTGATACCCCATGGAGCAGGTCATGGAAACATCTAGCAAATTTTGACCACTAAATATAGACCTCGAAGGAGTCACAGGGCTTTTTTTGGAGGGAGTGGTCTTGCTGCATTTCTGAAACTCTGCTCACTGCTTTACTCATCGTGTGTGTAGAAGCACGTACCTGTGCTCCTCTCACATGACACCGGTGTCACGGAGGTGCCAGCGATGTGGAAGGCTAATGGCCTCCAAAGCTCCCGTGGAAGGTAGCGTTACTCAGGCTATAATGAGAGATTAAGGAATGTTTCCCAAGAGTAATCGGAAACTGGGAGGCCGTGTTCACAGTCTGACAGCAAAGCCCTGGGAACTGCTGAGGCGCGATTAGTGCTGCTCTTCCTTATGCTCCATCAGTGTTTCCATTATGAAAATTTCCACTGTTTAAATCCTTGTGATGAGTGAAAACATTTTGCTGGAGTGGGGAAAGCAGGGATAGGGTGATCTGGTGGGGAGTAGGTGCCCCCTAATCATGTTGGCATGAAAAAAACACCGCTGTGTGGGAATTTAGATGGAGAACCACTGCTTTAATTTCTGCCAGAGACTTGTAAGTCCAAACCAAAGCCCAGTTAATACCTTTAACTTTGTGATTAGATTAGATTGGAGTGGACCCTAAATTACAAAAT